CCTGTATACAAAATTTCACCCTTTCTGCCAGATGTGAACATTTTTTTCACATATCTGCCCCAATACTATCCGTAACCGAGCGCTCATCTACACTATGATCCGTAACTGATCTCTCATCTTCACTGTAAGGAACTGATCCATCAACTGAGCACCTGCTGTCATGTCATGTTGCCCGTATGATAAGGCTGGGTGTATGGGCGCGTGGACTTTTTGTCTGCGTTCAGCCACAGTTGAAAGGCCCGGCCTGCTTGGGTCATGATTTCCCATGTCTGGAAATGTAAGGATATCCTCGTCAGGCCTACCAGCTGCTTGTTTTTCTAGAGCTTCTCCATTATCTGTCATCAGAGAGAAGCCTCGTTCGCAGTCAACACTGCTCAACAATTATTTGTTATTTGTTTTAATTTCAGTGTCCTTGAATGTACTCATCTTGTCTATTATGTAGTCACTAAGTCAGCATGGTCATTCCATGCTGATCTATTGCTATCCATGCTACATCCATTGTTTGAATACTCAATACTTTAGTATCTTTGAAAAACTTGAAAAAAGTGAAAAGTTAACCAGCTAACACCGGTATTATTCACTATTCAGAATATGACCAACGTTAATTTATTGATTTTGTATACTATTTAGTTTTATTAGACTAAGAGTACGCGTGCGTGCATGCGTGCGTGCGTGGGACAAAGCCGATGAAGATAGAAACATAATATTTTATATGAACATGTCACTTAAAACTTTATCGACATTTTATTTTTCTCTAAACCACACCTCATACAGGTTTCTAAGATGTGTGCGTGTAAGATACTACAGTAAAATATAGACAATAAATTAACTCTTATAACTATATACTGTTTGGCGAAGGTTCGCATACACAATATTTTCGTAGGAGGAATGTACTACAGAAAGGGAAGAGAGCGAAAGAAGGAAAAGAGGAAGAGGTGGGGGGAGAGAACACGCAAACGTGCAGTGCTGGATGGGTATGTACGCGTGCGTGCGTGCGTCTGTGTGTGTGCGTGTGCATAACGTGCGTGCGCACTGTTATATAATTATTATATTATATATAATTTACTGTTATATTATATTATGCGATAAACCATAGATAGTACGATTTGCGATAAAACACGGAGCACTCGCAGAAGAACATATTATATTTCTTAACACAACGTATACTTCGTTTGAAAATGGACCGTACGGCATGACTCGAAAGATATGATAAGATTAGCATAGTATAATTCGGTATTTAATTAAATTTCGAACAGCATCAACATGTAGTACCCTACGCTTCTGCCATAGTAGAGGTGTGATATGGAGATTTTGGCCTCCTGCCCATCAGATGAATGTTGCAGCCAAATCCAACTTTAGACATTGAGAACTTTAGAAAATCCCTCACAGGATCAGTAGAGATCGCTTCTTAGCAGTAACAAACCACGAACATTTTCATACACTACTCGCACATTTCTTCGAATAATTATAAACTATACACTACGAGAAAATTTCTAAAACGTTTACAAATAAACCATAATAGTTAGCAGATGATTAGCAAACTATTAACAAATTAGCACCTTTACTTTGGAATAAACCTGCACACACAAAATCTCTTGTTAATTCGAAACTATGTGCAATAAATGGCTACACAACCCATTAGTGATTAGTAACTTGTACTAACCTGTGTAATTTCTATAGCTAATGACACTGGCCTTCAACAGTTTGCGAAAGTTATCCTTGTGAGTAAGATATCAGCAGCAACTCACGGAATATAATTTCCTACCAACCAAATTAGCAGATGCCACGGACTTCAATCGCAGACACGTCCACGTTTATTCACAGATTTGTGCGCCGTCCTAGTCCTCTGCCTTCGTCTCCACATGTATCCAATCAAGCGAACTTGTGTTGGGTTTTTCCACTGGAGCACGAGTCCACTCGTCCACCAGCAACGTGATATTGAGGGTCGCTTTTCGCGGTGTCGATTCCGACGATGCAGACGGTGTGGTACCGTTCGAAAGCGGGCGACTGATCGCCGACTTTGCCAGGTCGAACGAGAAACCGCCTACGGTGATGGCTGCCGGTGGTTCGGGCAGGATACACGAGTAGAAGACGTGGCTGCCCTGCCGCAGCGTCTCGCGCACACCTCCCACCGCAGAGCTTCTGTAGATGGTCGGGTAAACATGCTCTAACCCCGAGCAGTCGACGATATGGTCCTCTTCCACGCGTGTCTCTGCCTTGTGCACCCACCCCTGCTGGCCACACTGGAAAGTTTTGTTCTCACTTCTAATGGAATGCATCAGGAATGCCCGCGAGTCTCGCGGGCAGGGCAACCAGATGCTGCCAAGCGGCCGCCGATGAAGCGGGAAAACGATCTCCTTTGGGTACGTTCGGTACAGCTTGTGGCTCTGGCCGTGCTCCCAGACGTGCGTTTCGTTTTCCTTGTAGAAGGAGATGTCAATGAAGGGCCACGACCACTCATACTCCCAGGTCTTTGGGGTATTCGTAAGAAAGAACTTGAGAAACAACTTGGAGGTGTGATTGAGCATCGTGTACTCAGGACTAAGCTCCTTCAACAAATGCTCCATCTTGGGTCTTTGGTTGTGGTCGACCATGATGTCAATGTCATCATCCCAGGGCAGCATGTCGTGGCACATGTATGAGCCTGCGATAAAAAAAACTGAACAATGTAACAACTCATCTAGCAAGATCAGCATCATTCAGGTACAATCTAGCACAAAAAGTGTGTGTGTGTGCGTGCATGTGTGCTCTCTCATACATGTGCACACGTGTGCTTACATAATGGTTACTATATATAACCTACGAAACTTCCCTTATTGCCATTGCCACAGGCACACAAGTTGTCTACTTAATAACCCATGATCAATTTGCAGTGATAGACTGTGAAAAAATTTTGTAACATAAATATTGCATACTTTTAATGAAAGTAACAACAGTGAATGCAGATATATATACTATCAATTTGATTAAAAGTCTATCATTAAACCGCTACATTATTAAAAACCCACTGTGTGCACCATATGTAAAACAGTCTATCACAC